TCTATTATCCAACGTGTGTAGAAGCTCCTGAGTCAACAAAATCTTGTCCCCAATAAGTCGACCGGGGACAATAAAAGATTTTGTAAATAATGATTCTGCTTTTCTTTGTTCCATTGCTAGTTTTCCGAAATATGAAGCTAAAGTTTAATATATTTTCCTCATAGGTCGTCCTACTACATTCATATTATGGATTACATCTTGGTTTACACCCTTCCATGTGGCATGATCTATACCATTGATTTTTTTCCCCACTTTTCCCATCAATGCGCAGATTCCCCCCACATAGGAGGGATGTCATGAGTTTACATATAGCATTATTCTTTCCTTATTTGGGGGTTTAGTATATCAGATCTACTGTTGTCACATTTAATTGTAGTGTTAGATTGCAATAAAGTGCGATTTTTTATTTTTATTTTTTTCCCAAAAAAAAAAACACGGTTTCTCACCTCATAGTTGTGGACGTTTCCTGCTGCTAATTCCAACTATAGTAGGCTTTTAGGATTAAGTACCTTGGCGTGTCGTTATTAGAAAACAAATACGAGCATAATACAAGTTTCTTGTCCAAAAATGACAAGTCATTAACAAATGAAGTTTCCAGTACACCATCCGTGATACAAAACCAAGGAGCGTATAGATTGAAGGGCTGAGACTCAAAATTGTACCCTTATGTTTGGTTATCAAACCTTAACCAAGAATTCAAGTCTCAAATTAAAGGATATCACTGGTATTCGTTTACTATTTGCCTACCACTTACATAAAGTATAAAATTTCACAAAGAGCAGGAGAAAGAACAAACCTTCAATCAGAGGCTTGGAACATGATGAATGAGATGAGAATTCTGGAAGTACAGCAAGAAACGACAGAGATATGACCTAATGCGACAACTAAGGGTTCTACATATACCCTTATTGCTAACTATTGAACTCATATTTGATCCAACAATCCAGAGCCTCTCAAAATTTAAAAGGACAACAACTGTTGAGTGGCATTAAAACTCATTTGGGTTTTGGGCCAACCAATTTATCAACCAATTGCAACTATGGAGTTTGGGCCAACAGGTCATTTCATCATCACCCTGCAAGATCGAATGACATCAT